GTGGATAGTGTGTATGTCTCTATGTGATGTCTATGTGTGGTGTCTGTGTATATGTGTGGTGTCTATGTGTGTGTATATGTGTAGTGTGTGTGTGTGTGTCTGTGTGTGTGTAAGGGAAGAGGGAGAGAGAGTGTTCCCTGGGAGGTTTAGCTGAAGGGAGACGAACCCTGCATGTGGGCTGGGAGCCCTAACTGAACGTGAACAGAAAGGGGGCAGAGAGCCGGATGCCAACATCATCCATCTCTGTCTGCTTCCTGGCTGTGGTTGGGAAGTGACAAGCTGCCTCATGTTTCTGACACCATAGCTCCCCCTTGCATAACGGACTGGATGGCCTCAAAGAATAAACTTAGAGGAACTCTTTCTTCTTCAAGTGTCCCTCAGGTAGATGACCACAGTTACCAGGTAACAACAATAATCCAGGCACCACATTCAACAGGAACGAGTGTAGAGGGGGTGGGTATGCGGAGAGAGCAGGGTGGGGGCCTGAGGAGCAGGAGAGAGGGAACAAGGCAGAAGCAGGTCATTCTGATCCAGCAGCAGGCCAAAACAGGCTTCTAAGCTGGGACCACCACACAGGACCAAACTATCACTGAACTACCGGGACTCCAGGGCCACAATAGAGCCCATGGACCAGCAACACGAAGAGTAGGCTCTGAGCTCAGGCTAGGACACTCACAGCCCACAGGGACAAAGAACTGGGCCTTTCCCCCAGAACTTGAAAGATGACAGCTCTGGCAGCTGAAGAAGCAGCCCCACAGAACTAGTGACAGGGAAGGCAGTGGAGGTGGGCAGGAGAAAGAATTGTTGGGAGACATAGAGGTGTGTAAGAAAGAGGCTCTGTCCCCAGAGTACAGGAGACAGGAGAGGAATAAAAGAAACAAAGACTAGCCTGTAAGAACCAGATAAGGAACCCTTGCGCCTCTGAGTTTTCGGCTGCATCTGTGCCCTGAATACAAGACACCCACCTGTGACATCCAGACGGAAGGACACCTTCTGTCCCCCGGCCTCGCAGCTGTACTCCCCAGCATC